GCTCCTCCCCGGCCTCTTCTACGAGGGGAGGCAGGTGCACCCCAGGACCAGGCAGCCTGCCTGCGGCGGCCGGCCAGCACGTCCACCAGGGCCCCCTGGGGACAGCGTGAACTCAGAGTCAGCCTGGGGTACCTGGGGGACAGCAGTGCCCCCGGCCACGCATTCCTCTGCACATACTTCTCCAAAGTGCCTCTTCTCTGCCTCTTCCAAACCGCTCGTTCCCCCGCTTTCAGCTCACAACTTCCTTTAGGGCAGAAGGAGCCGCTTGACCAGCAACTCTCGCCTCAGAGGTGGAACAGGGCTAACCCTGCTGCCAGCCCAAGGAGCAGGGTGTCACCCCTCTGTCCCTCTGTCCTGCTGGGGCCCTGCGGTGCTGGTACCTGCAAGGGAGCAGCGTGCTGCAGAGCCAGACCAGCCCCATCGGGCAGGGACAGGAGAAACGCCATGCGCCCAGCGCCTGTCCAGCGCCTCCTCAGGCTGCCAGCAAGGAGGGGAGCGACAGGACCGCCTGCGAGGGGGGTGCCGGCCTGCAGAGCTCCAAACTCTTCCCAGGGGGACCTCTGTCCCGGGGAACGGCCTCCGGGCGCTGCCAGCCCCCAGCACCCCTGCCAGAGCTGCAGCTGGGGCAGGGAGGGGTGCAGGGCCAGGCCCTGTGGGACCTATCTCCAGTGGGACAGGGAGAGGACCAGTGGCCCGGCCTCGGTGCGAGAAGCTGTGCCCAGCCAGAGGGCCGGGCCCTGCTGGGGGACCGGGAAGGGCTCGGGGCCGAGCTCTCCTTCCCACTGGTAGCAGCCGGAGCAGCGCCTTGTTTATGTGGACAGAGGCTGGCCAAGTCGGGAGCTGGAGCATTACCTAAAATGGTCAAAGCCAGAGGAGCAGGTCTGGCTGCTGCCCAGCCTGACCGAGCTCGCTAATGCCTGTCTGGCTCCTCCAAGACATCAGTCTATGGGGATGGAGTTGTCGGGGAGGGGACCACATCAACAGACACAGATCCCCTGGGGAAGGGCAGCGGAAAGAGAGAGGAAAAAGCCCAGGCAGCCCAACACTTAACCCCTTTGTGGCCTCACACAGCCCAGGGCTTGTCCTGCCAGGCCGTCAGCGTGCCCGACTGCACCCCAGGCCAGCGGGAACAGGCCGGATCCCTGGACTCGGCATGCACAAGCATGCACTTTCATGTGGCACACCTGCTCTTACCGTTCCAGGCGACCTCCAGCTCCTGCGGGAGTAACGGGATGCTCCTGCCCTCCTTCAGTGCAGGGCTCACGTATGAGGCGAGGTACGGGACAGACTCCCAGATCTGTCAGGGGGAAGGTGAGAGGATTCAGCACGAGGTCGCACCCTCCCTGCACGTCCACTTCTCAATCTCCCACCACTCTTGCAAGCTGCTCCTGTCCGTAGCGTACCTGACGCGTGTGGACGTGGGCCCAGCTGGGGACCAGGCTGAAGGACTCTCCTGACGCTGCTCTGGGGCATGTGAACCCAGGCAGCAGGCACGGGCTGCGGCGAGTGCTGCAGGGCGGGTGAGGAGCGCCTGCGCGCCTCGGAGCGGAAGGAAAGTGACTGCCTGCGGCCTAGAGGGGTCGATCGAGACTCGGGACTCTCCAGCTCTCATTTCGTCCCCAGCTCTGGGTTTGTCTCCACCACCACCTGAGTGGCTTTGAACCGTTACTTGAAGCCGTTACGTTTCAACCCCAGGGGCAGTGGGACAGGAAACGTAGCAGAACCCAAAGTCCTACAGGAAGGGAGAGCAGCCTGAAAATCCCTGTGAGAGAGGGGGCATTGCTGGCAACCGGCAGCAACCTGGCACAGCTGTACAGTGCTCTACGCATGAGTGAGGACCAAGTGCCAAAAGGACGTGCCCTGGTCTCCATGCGACTGGAGGCACAGGGAGGCAGAGACGGGGATGCCCCTGCCTGCTCTGACCACACCACTCCCTCGGCAGCCCCAGGGACACGGAGCCCCGGGCTGCCCGCTGAGAACGCCCCACTTCCTTGGGGCACGACGCCCTCCCTGGAGCCTGCTGCATGGAGAGGAAGGCGCTGGGGCTGCTGACAGAACTCCCCAAGCCATGAATCAGAGCTGTCGTCTCCCACCAGTGAAGGCTCTCGCCCATGGCTATATATAGTGCTGAGGGAGCGGCGGCTCGGGGGCAGGTTTCAGGCACTGCCGAAAGCCTCATTACTTCATACCAAAAGCAGCCTTACAGCGGGGGCCGGCCACAGCGCTGGCCCTGAACGGCAACAGCGTCACGCCACGGCATTGCCAGTACAGGACCCGCTGCCACCACTGGGCTGGGTCTGCTCTACGTGCCTCCGGGTCTGCCTGGGACAGGGGGGGGAATTACCTTGGCAGCGTTCACCAGCCTCCAGGCATTCAGCAAGCCGAAGCCGTGCTGATGGCTGTGGCTGAAGCCGGCCCGGTTGATATCCCACTTCGCGTGACGATCCTCGTACTGAAAAGAAATGCAGGACACTCTTGTTACCTTGGGGGGAACCGGCAGCCCTGCCAACCGGCGCAAAGGGAACCGGGCCTGAAAGGAAGGAGGCTCAGAAATAACCCGCAGCAGCAGGGAAGCAAACCCCCAAAAGGGCCTTATTAGAAAGAAACAGTTTGACCTCTGTTTGAAACAAGTCCCAGGACAAACAGGCTTCCCAGCTCCTCAGAAAGGAAATCAAGCAGCACGAAAGGGCACAAATGCCTCTGCTCTGAAACATCCCAGCTGCTCCCTGCTGCCCAAGCCACAGCCTGCGGGATGGCAGAAGCCCTGGGGAGAAGGAACCAAGTCCTTTAAATCAACAAGAGCAGGGCCAGGACAGATCTGGGTCCCATCACTTATCAGGTTGTGGTACTCTGGCAACGCTGGCTCGCAGTTGTGGAAAACACTGCCCTGTGCCAAAGCGAGTACAGCGTGACATTCCTTCTCCCCAGATGAGTGCGAAAGAGGCCCTGTCCCTGAGCCGACTTGGGCAGCTCCAGTCAGTTCCCACCCCTGCCTTCTGCAGCGAAGCTGTGCCGCAGTCGAGGCCGAGCGAAAGGAAGGGCTGTGCTTGCCGCCGCGCTCCCCGTTATGTCTGTTTCCAAGAGCCCGACTCTCTGGAGAGCCCGAGCAAAGGCCAGAGGCAGAGCTCCTCGCTTTCCCACTGCTTGTGCTGCAGGGTGGCACTGCGGACATGCATGCCGGCCCTTCGGCTGGGACAGCTGCACCGCACGCACACACACGCTCCCGGTCTCTGTGCGTGAGGCACGGTGAGCCCCTGGAAGACCCGTACGGCTGGCAGATGGAGGGATTCCTGGAGCAAATACCCCATTTATTATCATGACAGAGGAAAATGCCTCAGCCGCATTCCTGGGAGGAACAAGGGGAGAGGGGAAAAGGCAATCCCTCTGCCAGAAGCCAGACGACCGAGAGAGATTTATAGAGGGGCAGGCAGACATAAACAAGGATGTGCACAGCAGGACCTCGGCCATCCTGCAGCATCCCCGAAGGGCAGCAGGGAGGAGGGAGGGCCACTCACCTTGGTGGCAGTGAAGACGATGATGTGCTGGACGTCTCGCCAGGTGAGGCACGGCCGCACCTGCAGCATCAGCGCGATCATCCCGGCTGCAAGGGGAGCGGCAGCTGACGTCCCCGTGTGGCCCTCTGTGCAGCCCGTGCCTTTCTGCAAATCCCAGTCTGTCGTCACCTTCCAAAAAAGAGGAGAGATGCCTCCTGTCAGGCCACCATTTGCCATGCTCGGTGGCTGGGATACGTACAACCGAGCGTGTGGTCCCGGCCCCAAGACGTGCCCTCCCCACAGCAGCTCCGCCAGCAGCCCACGCTCAGCCTGTGACACAACTGCTGGCAAAAGCTGCGGGGACGTGGGATGGCGTGGCCCCCACACTACGCAAAGGGCACGAGAGATGGGGGCTCTGGGGCTCCAGACCATCGTTCTGGACACAGCTAAGAAACGAGCGATGCCCGAGCACAGCAGGCGGAAACAGGGCCAGCAGCCGTGCGCCTGGCAGAGAACAAGGCAGATGGCGGAGAGCTTGCGAGTGAGGGCAGCCCGGGCACCCTGCGTGGAGGCTGGCGTCCTCCTCTACTGCACGAGCACTCCAGCAGTGTGCAGTGCGGTGCACAAGCTGGTGGGTTTTCTTGACAGCCCTGTAGCACTGACCTACTGCTTGCACGTCTCCGTCAGAAATGCTCACGTAATTGCTATTCCTCTACCGCAAGCCCGATGAGGAGGAAAAGGTCCCCCACGGGGTGGCAGGACACGTGAAGGGGAGGCTTGGAAAACTGGGAGTGTGAAGGGAGAAAAGACGGAGTCAGCAGCTCTCCTCCCCACCAGTCTGGGACCCCCTGGCCAGCCCTCTCCTCCAGCGCCAAGGGCCCTCAGGGGTGCCCGGCTATTATTTGCTGCGAATAGTGAAAACCTTCTCCTCTGCACGATGCCTTTGGCCAGGCTGAGCTGACTGCCCTGGGGGAGAGAGGAGCTAACCCAGCCCCTGCTGCACTGCTGCTACGGCATTACCAGGGCGCTCTGTGCAGCCAGCAGCGCCTTTCCCCTCTCCGCCAGGCAGCCAGCCCGGCCAGGCACGTCTGTCTCAACGCAGTCTGTCCCAGGTGAACAGACGGGAAAGCCTTCGAGCAGGGAGAGGGGTGCGAGCACTGGCACAGAGCAGGAATCGGAGCGTGACAGCCCAGGCAGGGGAGAGCATTGCTGCATGCACCGCTGGGCCAAAGAGCCGAGCTTCCCTGCACCGTGCCGGGGCACGCAGCGGCCTTTAAAGGGGCCCACAGACAGTCACGCGGCACCTTCACACCCCTTCCTAAGAGGTTTGCTCTGTCGGAAGGAAAAGCAGGGACTGCGGCTGAGCGCCCATGGTCCCTCACCCAGGGACACCTCCTGCCTCTCTGTGACCACAGGGAAACACGGGCAGGGAAAGGTGAGCTGGGGCAGCACCCAGTCCGAATACAGCACACGGAGGCCAGCATCCAGTCTGACCCCCTCCGTACAAAGCTTTCAGACAAAATGAGAGAAGACCTCCAGATGCCCGAGGAGCCCCCCTCCAGAGCAAAGACACAGGGAGGTGGTCCTAAACGCCCTGCCTGCGTGCACCACATCTGACCCGGCCGTCTCCCAGCTGTCTCTTCTGCACGGGCAGCTTCCCCCCAGACTGGAGGGAGGAATTTGCAGCACACGAGCTTTCTTTCTCTCTGTGGTTGCTGAGATCAGGCTGCGAGATGAGAGGGGCAGCCAGAGATCCCATCAACCTCCCTCAGCCAAGACCAGAACAACAAGAGCGGAGCAGCAGCAGGGGAAGAGGGTCAGGGATCAGCTGCTGAAAAGCCTGGAAATATTTCCCAGATGGTTCCTGGCCAGGACAGGGGTACCCAGCAAAAACCAGTACAAGGTGGGAAGGACAACACCAGCAGTCGAGAGGTATGGCCCCGTGCTGGGAGCTGGGACGCAAACAGTCCAGTGTGGGGCTGAGCAGAGCATCTCAGGCAGCTTCTCCCCGGGGCAAGGGCAGGAAAGCACCGTTGCAGCCCCCGTTTCTACAGCCTTTAGCTAAGGATAAGGAACAGCAGCTCGACACCGCTCTGGCCGGTGGGAGCAACAGCCGTGGCACCGCAGGGTCCCATGCAGGCACTGCTCCTCTTGCCCCTGCTCGCAGCCAGCTTGGCTAGAGGCTGGACTCGGTCTTGTCAAAAGCTTCCGATTTCAGCTAACGTCCCTGGGGTCTTCGGAGGTGACACCTCTTAGCTCTGCTCCCTGCGCATGAAAACCAGCTCCAGTTCAGGGAGAGGGACACACATCCCAAACTTGAACACCACAAATGTTCTCCAGGATACTCTAGACACAGGCACAGAGCGTTGCTGCCCTAGGATCAAAATACCAATTCGAACGAGCGGCCACTGCTTAAGAGCTGCTACTCATAGGGACCTCAAGCTCACCACAGAATCCTGGGACACCCTCGCTTCGGGGACAACGCATCCCAGTTGAGAAGCGACGAATGCAGATCGTTTGCTTTGGAGAGAGAGAGAGGAACTGGGCCTGAACTAAGCGACTTCAGGGGAAACTCAAGGCAGTTACGGTTTGGGACTTTCCCCACCTTCACTGCTGACCACAGCATCACTCCAGCACAACGCAGCCTCTGCAGAGGGATCATATGGGACTTTGCAGAGCACACAGAGCCTCAAAAGAGGCACTGGGAGGTTCCCAAATTATGCCACCTCACTGCAAACAGAATTTGTCCGTCTCCCTGTGTTCCCCATGGGGAGACAGCCTGCACTGCCAAAAGCTGTAGGTTTTGTTGCCTTCTATGCTCGACTCCGTAACATTCTGCCAGCTGTTAACAACTTCAGCTTGTGCTTGGAGGCTGCACGTCCTACGAAGAACACCCTGAGTAGCACAAACTTTCAGTAGGACACGCAGCTAGTGCCAGAAGCCGTATTAAATTCTTCCCATTAAGGAAACCATACAAAGTTTATAGTCTGGTAAAAGAAAAAAACCCAGCAGAAGGCTGCTGAGAAGTTAACTCTGGCATCACTGAAGCACAGTTAAAGGGCACTTAGAAGACTACTATCCTCCAGAAAAAGGGGTGTGAATGTTTTAACGTGGCATGGGAATGCTAAAGCAGCGACTGCAGTACTGCAAAGAAACAGGAGGGCTCTCTGGCACATGCCGTGCCTAGGCTACGCGTGGCATCTCATCCTGGCTCCCCAGTGGAATACCAGCTCCTGTGTTAGCATCACATAAGGGCAGTATTCGAAATGAAGGGGCGTTGGAGACTTTCAAAGTGCTGTCACCGGCAGCAGGCTTGGGGGAAGCTGGACGTAAACCCAAAACTCCGTGTAACTCCTGATGGAAGTGCAGCAGAGCCCTTGTTTGGCTGCCGTTTCCTTTTTTCCAAGCATCAGTAGTTTCCAAACCAGCTTGGGACAACTGAAGTTCCTTCTGAAAGGAAAAATTACCTCCATTCTAGGTTCTACTTTCCCTGCCACGTGAGCCGAACCATTGCTCCAGGCAGACTGCACTGAGCTGTAGTTAGGCACGGATTCCTGCCCTGCTCTGGACTGCAAGAGGAGCGTGCAGAGTCCCAACCAGGTAGCTGAGGAACCCAGGCTCTCCCTGTTCCCCCAGTTTACCCAGCACGCGGGAAAGCCTGTTTGACAAGCCTGGATTCAGCTCCTCTCTGGCAGGCACAGAGCCACAGCCGCACATCCCTCCTCACAGGAGTACCCTAGGCACCGTCCCTCGTCCATCAGGCCCCCCGAGACCCTGAGACACCGCCGGTGCTGATCTGCCACTGGGACTTCACTGCCTCGTCGGCTTTGCCTGGAAAGTGCCTTCGGGAACTGCCCGTCCTGATGGGAGATCCTCCCGGTGCCTGCCAAGCCACGGACAACCCAACCCCGAACAGTCAGGCCTGGGAGCCAGTGACGTTTACCCCAAGCTGCCCCAGGGTGGCTTGGGCTCAGCAGTCCCCGCTACCGCCGCAGGACAGGAACAGGTCACAGCCATATGGGCTGGTTAGCCTGACAGCCCCCCGAGTGCACCAGCACCAAGGGAGAAACACGCTGGGTCAGGCCTGGGGCTGGTGAAAACAGGCCCGCCTGCTTGGCTCGGGCAAAAAGGACATTTTGTTGACGAGAAGTCATTTTTTGGCAAAAAAAGGAAAAGCTGATAAAAATATTCTGAAAAATTCAGCTGGGAGAGGCACACGTGCCAGAACGGAGAAGGAGCTGGGGCCAAGTACTTTAAAGAGACCGATGCTGCTCCTGGCCCTCTGTGCTGGTCCCTGCTCCCGCATCCCTTCTGAGCGGAAGCGAGGGGGGCTGGCCGGGCAGGGTGTGCTGCAGCCCCCGCAGAGCTGAGCCCCAGCCGCCCCTGCCCCTTCCTCTTCAGGAAAGCCCACAGCGGCAGGGGAGTCTTGCTGCAGGCTTCCACCTCGCTGTGCAGAGGGGCACGCACAGAGCTGGGCTAAAGCTGAGCCGGGGGAGCTCCCTGGATGGCACTCCCAGGGAAAGGGCACAGAGGAACTTCTTAGGGGTCACCCAAGCGGCCCCCATCCCAGAAGCTGTCTGCCTGCAGCTCCCAGCAGCACAGAGCAGGGAGATAAGGCAGCACAGTTCCTGTCCCTTTTGGTCTGACATCTGCCTGCGCTTGAGGCGACAAACACGACACGCGGGATCTGCATTTGGGTCCAGGAACTCAGCGTGCCCGCAAACACCCTTGCAGAGAGAGGGTCACCGCACTGCAAGTTACAGGCTGACAAACAGTGACAACACGGGGAACAACTAGACATAGGAACCTCCCTCTCAGAGCACTATTTATGTAGGACCTAGATAAAAAGCACGTTGGTTCCCTACCTCACAAAGGAACCCAACTACCAGCCTAAGGCAGACGCGTGGCAATCAGAAGGGACAGAGCTTCACTGGGCTGTTGCAGCCCCGTGGCCTGGTGTGGCCAGCAGAGCACGGGGGAAGACGTGTGCCTTGCGTGGTACTCACAATGCTCCTCATCATCTTGTCCCCGCCACTGAAGGTCACTGCTAGCATGGAGGCACATTCCTCAGCATAGAACGGCATGGAGCCCGTCTCATCCACTGCGCCTGTGAAGAGGTGAAAGGCGTCGACTGTATGAAGTCTGTTTCATTTTAACTGCTGAAATTGCAAGGTGGGGAGCCCCTGAGGACCTGTCCTGCTAGCTGTGCTTTTTCACAGGCTGGGAGCTGGGCAGGGAAACCAGACCCAAGCCTGTATTTTTCATGGCTGGAACATCTACGGGAAAGGCAGCCACAATAAATAACCTTTCGCTGTGCTTAATATTACGCAGATCTACCGCTCAGGTAGCTTCTGCCCTCGAGAAAATGGATTAGTCGCTTCTTTTCTAACACACATGATGGAAATGCTGCATTTCAGCTCACCCCCTCAACGCGGCAGTGTGTCCGTCACAGCCCCAGTGACGGAGGCCTGAACACAGGCAGGAATTTCTTTGGCCTCTTCTTGCTCTGGAGGCCAAAAGAAAACTGTAGACTTGAGAGCTGAAGCCCAGCACCTCTCGCCACTGCCCACTGACTCCCAGAGCACAGATACACGTTCCCACACACAGATTCCCGCTACCCAGCCAGCTTCCCGCTGGGCGGGTTTTGCACTTTTGGGACGATCTCCTTTTTCCACGCTGGGAAGGACGGAGACAGAAGACACACGCACTCACCTATTGTGACAGTATAGATGGAGTTGGCATAGCCATCGTAGTTGCAGTTGTCGCTGTGTTGCCCACCATTGCCACTGGCCACGACGAAAATGCTCCCAAAGCCCCTGCGACCCGCTATCACGCCGTGCTGCAGGGCGGCCTGCGGAGAAGGAACCACTGCTGGTCAGGGCGTGTAGGCAGGCAGGCCCTTCCTGTGCCCGTCCCCGCTGACCCCAGAGGGTTGCTGCCAGCTGCCACGGCCGGCACGTGTGGCTGGGAGCTGTTGGGGAGCAGGGCACCTCGCTGCTAACCCAGGCGCACATGGGCACGTGCACCTCTCCAAGCTGGGTAAGCGTTCACCCCGCGGACCGCTCGCAGGCACAGGATGTGCTGGAAAGCTGTGTCCTGGTATCCCCATCCAGCAACCGAAGTCCACGCTCAGAGATTTCAATAACCAGCCCTGCCAAGTACTCGGGGCGATAGCGGAGCCAGCCACAAGCCCTCCGGGCCCAGCTAGCAGAGTCGGGGAGTTGTGTCTGTCACAGCCCCGACCAGACACTGAAATTCCAGAGCGAGTGTGTTACAAAGGCAGCAACGCAGCCAATGTCTGGGCTGGGGAACAGCCATTCTACAGCTCGCTGTGATCTTAAGTGGATTCTGCGTTAAAAATAAAAAGAGAAAAAGGAAAAGCAACCTTCCAGGCAAGCACAGCACAAGAACTGACCAGCATTTGAACTCCAGAGGAAACACAGAAGCCTCCCAACTTCAGCAGGGCTCACTTGGGAGCTGCCTTTTCTGCAGCACCAAGGCTCTCCTGCCGACAGAGACTACTCAACGTTGCTGCTGCCCTTCTGCAAGGCCCCAGCCCCCACATACACTTAGGCTTTGCCTTCGCTGAGAAACACAACCACACCAGCCCCACTTGGGAAGCACATCTCCAGGCTGACACCTCGCACAGACGGCATCCCCACCTAGACAAAGGGTATGTGTCCCATGGACGAGAGAAAAAGCAATCCTGCTGGAAACCAACCCTCCTCCTCTGCCCTCCCTTCAGCAGGTGAAGGCCCGTGCTACATCGGTCAGAAAGCCCTCCAGACACCCTGCGCTTTGCTTGTGCTCTGAGTCCCAGAGCTCGTTACAGCCGTCTCTGCATGCAGGAAGAGAACAAATTAACTTGCAGAACTGGAAACCATTTGTCATCGTGAACCGATAGCTCAGTTGTCAGCGTTGCTTCGAACAGCACACTGACTGCTATCTTGCGGTTACAGAAGTACAGCAAAAGGCTGCCAAGCAAAAGAGAAACTAAGCAGAACCGCATCCCACAAGCAACGCAGTGCCAGTTTTGGGGCCCCCGCAGTGACCCCTCGCTGCGGTACCTGGGCAGCAGAAGCCCGGCGCAGGCAGCCGGGTGTGTTTTGCAGTGGTGCTGCAGCATGGGCGCTGCGAGAATGCCTTCACGGCCCGGGAAGGAGCTTCAGCTCTGCCTCTTCCCCCACTTTGGTCCCACTGAGCGTGAATGCAGCCATCGCCTCAGCCCCTTATTTACTCCTAGCGTTTGAAGGCACGCTCCCTGCCTTGAGAACCACCCTTAGCACTAGGAACGCTCGGTCTCCTGAGCAGAAAGCATCCCTCGAGTTGCAAAAGTTGCCAGAATAATATCACAGGTTGCGAAAGAGCATTTTCCTGCTGGAACCAGCCTCTCCTTGGGAAGCTCATCTAATACTGCCTGAATGCTGCCCTCCCACAGCAAGGTCGCCTCTCCCCACCACACGGTAACATGCAACACCTCCGCTGGCAGCAATGGAAGCAAACAAACGTGCGCTGCGCCACAGCAACGTCCCTCCTCGCCTGTCCAGGCAGGCAAGAGGCCACAAGCACTGGAGGGCTAGCCCAGGGGTGACCCGTGCTGCTGGGATTGGTTTTTTTTACCTTTCCCAGTTGATGGGGGCCATCCACGGTCTTCCCATCGTCATCTGGACCCCAGCTGCAATGAGAGACACCATGAAGTGACAGCCCCAGGAGTTGCAGACAGCAACTCTTCTTCCCATTCCAGTGTTCCGTTACAATGAGCTACAAGCAACCATCAGCTACTCCCAGCACCATGACTGGGATCGGAGGGCGCTGTACTTTCCCATCCGTCAGGCTGGCCCCTCACTGCTGGGATATCGCTGTCATGTTTGCACTGTGCCCCTGGGTCACATTCCAGTGGACAAAATGTTTGATTTTTATTTAACAACCAGCTTCTCACACATTCCAGTCCCCGTCACGCAGCTCAGCCCGGGCTCCCTGACCGCCGCGGGGGGCACGGTGCCCCCTCCAGCTCAGCCAGCCTGTGGGAGGTGCTGGAGCAGAGCTCAGAAGGCCTCGCAACCGCAGACGCTGCGCCCGGCCCCGGCAAGCTCTCCAGTAACAGGAATACTGATGTTACTCTTAACAGCAGTAACGGAAAGCCCCACCTTACGTTCCCAGCTGCAGAACCCCTCGAGCTTCATCTGCACAGAGCCCCTGAGGAGGCCTGACTGCAGGGCACAGGCGGGCCCCGAGCCCAGGGGGACAGGCAGGGTGTTCCCTCGCTGGGACAGACCCGCCACCTCGCAGCCTGGCTGCCTGCCTGCCAGGCACACTCAAAGCACCCACAAAAGCAGTACTGATTTTGGTGCCTCGAGGCTAGCTGGAGCCACGGGAGGAGAGGAGCTGGTGTGAGCATTCAGCCGCAAACTGTGACCACGTCCCCGGGCAGAGCAGGGCCCACGGGCCTTCGCTGGGTGTTGGCATGGCCTGGCTCAGGGTCCCCTTGGGGCTCACCTGCAGCTGTAGATGTCATTGATCTGATAGTGCTTGTTGAAGGCGATGGCCTCCATGCTGTCGGTGAGGGGCCCATCCAGGACTCGGATGCCTGCAGGACAAAGGACAACAAACATGACCGACATGGATCAAAGTAAGCTGTACAAACAGTGCAAACAAATTCCTTGGCAGGTTCACACTGGGGACACTCACTCTCCCAGCCTGACGGAACCGGATCTCCTGGAGCTGTAACCCTGCAGACCAGTCCACAGGGCCTCGATGTGTGTGAGGGATTGTAGGTGCACCTCCCGCACAGCTCCGCATCCCCTGCTGGACACGGCTTTTCTGCCAAGCAACTTCTCCAGTCCTACAGCCAGAACCAAGTTGGTGACGGGTACAACACAACCGAACACCAGCTGGCCTCCCTCCCGTGTGCCCCTGAGCCCCCCTACCCAGAGCACCGCTCCCCAGGGGCTTCCTCACATCCCACCTTCAAATATCCCACTGCTTTTCAGGGCTAGTCCCTGCCTGGAGCAATTGCTTCCCCTTCCAAGCCGCCAAACAGCCAGGCATGGCTTTGGGATGGATGGCACGCTTGCCTGCTAAGGGAGGGGCTCGAGAGATGCAGGACACCCCAACTACTGTGCTCAGACCAGGAGGGCAAGGCCACTTCTCCAACAAAGCTAATGAAGGCTCAATACTGAGTTTTCAGTGACCCAAACCATTGATAATTACTGGTTTGCATCACAGTTTAGGCTGGCAAAGGATGCTACAAATGGAAACCAGGCACGTATCTCAATTAAGCCCATTTATAAACAGTGCAACCACCCACCCGCCTCAGCTCTTGCCTGACACAGCACACATGGCTTTTTACTGTCGCATCTGAGCCTCCCCCGTGGAGAAGCGGAGCAGCCCAACTAGGGATGCGCTGGCTCTCCCCACCCTGGCTGGCACCACGCTGGCTCCTGCACTTCCACCCTGCCCCGTCGCCCTGCAGTGCTCAAGGCTGCCCCGTGGTGCTCACCCTGCAAGGCCAGGCACAGCTTTGGAGAGCTGAAGCCCAAAGAAGTGCAACCCAGGGTAAACCCTCCCTATTCCCCACGCTGCTGCTAAACTATGAGCTCATCTTTCCTTCTACCAGCTGGGCTTCGCTAGCAGCGTCTGCCCGCAGCCTCCCAGGCTGGCTGGAGCCCGGGGGTCATGCTGTGCCGTGATCAGGGTGGCCGCCCAGGGAGTGCCCCGTTGGGGTGAGGTAGGGAGGAAGCCGAGCACAGGGCAGGGGTGCAGAGCCGCCTGCCGTGCCCTTGGGCGACCTCCTGGCTCCCAGCACCTTGCTGGCACCCTGCGACCTGCCCGCTCCCCAGCCCCGTGTCACAGCTGGGGAACGTGGCACCATCTGCCGAGTATGCAGAGAATCACGTCCAGGCTGCGGCACAGCGGCACCGTCCTCTGCTCTGCCAGGGATGCATCCTGCCCGGCACAGAGATCTTGCCTTCCTCTGTGAAGGAGCGTGAGAGCTCCAGAGACAGCTGAGGCCACAGCGGCACATTCCCTTGCTCTGCAGAGGAGAGATGCATGGCTGGACCTTCGCGCCTGTGCATCCCCACAAGGCAGAGCCGATACCAAGGGCCAGGGGAGCACAGGGGATCGGCAACCATGTGCTTCCTCGGTGCCTCCAGATACAGCCTGCAGTGCTGCACCACAGCGGGCACATCATTGCACGCTTGCCTGGCTTAGGCTGCGCAGTACGGATGCGTATCTGCCGAAAGATCTGCGGCCAGGCAGACGGCGTGCTGGGAGTACCCTGGAAAAGCTGCTGCAGCACACACCTATCCTGCTCTGCCAGGAACTGGCTCTGCCGGAGAGCAGCAGCTCAGGCAGACGCCGGTTCCTCCCTCTGACAGATCAACCAGCCTGAGCAAGGCACTGCCTGACTCAGAGCCGCTTCGGCCAAGCCACCCCTCCCACGGGGCTGTGCCCCAGCCCCAGAATCGGAGATGAGACAGCCAGGCATGAGCACAGCATGTCGGGGTGCTGCGGCGTGCACGTACCTGCGATGCGGCTCCCGTAGGCAACTCCCACTGTGCAGAAGCTGTTGTTTGGCACGGCAGCAATCTCCCCGGCACAGCGGGTCCCATGGTGGTTGCCATTCTCCTCGTCGGGGTGAGGCATAGGGTCGGGGTCATTGGAGTTCAAGTCATAGCTGCCTTCTGGGCTCTGGAAACAGACCCACAGGCACGATGCAGGGCTCTGCTCTCCTCTCTTTGGGAAAAGCAGGACTTAAGAGCCTGCTACGTGGGCTGAAACACAGCCTGGAAGTCACGGGAACTTAGAGGCTGCTTCCACACGGGGCTGCAGCTCAACACTGCTATCTGCTGCTGCGGAAAAGGGACCAACAGAGGCAGCCTTAGCAACTGCTGTTGGTCAGAGGGAGGGCAGATCTCACATCTAAGCAGCTACCTCCCACAGGTAGCACAAAGGCTTGTAACCCTGCAGCTTGGGTGCAGAATCTCCCAGGGAAAGTTTTGCCAGTGGCACTTCCCGCCCTGGCCGAGCCCAGGGTGACAGCGCGGGTCAGGGTCTGCCGGCAGCCAAGCACTCGCACACTCCCGTCGCAGAGCTGGCACTCACGTAATTTGGCTGTATGTCTTTGATGGTGTGCTCCACGCCGTCGTCCACCACCACCACCGTCACACCACGCCCCGTCACGTTCTGCTCCCAGACACCTGTGACATTGATGTCCTTCCCAGGGCTCTTGCGGTTGTTCTAAGCACCAGAAAGGACAGCAAGGGGAGAGAAAAAGCGGAGGAGTGAGTCAGCTGTGAGGAAAGGAGCTCCCAGACCTTTCAGGCACTCTGGCTACGGTGTGTGGGGCCAGGGCTGGGCTGGGAGCGCAGAGAGTTGCAGGACAGCCATGGGAGATTTTTTTTGACACGGACAGACAGCAACAGTCGCTTGAGCCACAAAGCAGAGCGCCCAGTGCTGCAGGGCCAACACCACGCTCCAGCCTGCTAAGCATACAGCGTGCTCCTCCCAAAACCCCTCTGCCACCCCAGCACCACGGGGGTGCGGCCAGCTGTGGCAGCTGCCTCCTCCTGTTATTGCAGCAAGCACGCGGCAGGCAGGGTGAGCCCTCGGCGTGCTTCCTCCTTGCCACAAGGACAGAAAGCGACGGTTCTGCCTGCCATATGACAGGTTGTTTGTGGCTGCACAAACAGCCCGAGCCTGCTAGCACAACAGGAGCCAGAAAACCACTCACCAGATGCCACTGCTGGGGGTATTTGGGATCGTTAAAGTGCAGGCTGCGTTTGGAACGCTTCAGAAGCTTCTGTTCCGAGTGCCACCGCACACTGTCATGCTGTGCAAACAAAGTGTCCACCGACCTCCTTATTGCTTCAGGTTCGCTTGCCGCTTGGCCGTCGGGCTGGTAGGTGAAGAGGTAATGGCCCTTGAGCTCCCCAACGCGGCCCATATTCACCAGCCCCGCAGTCCGGGCCAGCTCCTCCGCCTGCTGCTCCAGCTCCTCCTCAGGCACGTCCAAGCTGACAGCCCACGTCAGCTTGCCATGCCGGGTGTCAGTGCCGGGAGCACACTCCCCATCGCCCGCCAGTCCGTCTGATAACGCAAGGGGGATCCAGGCAGCACTCAGCCAAAGGCACGTGTGGATACAGAGTGTGGCCTCCATCCCTGCGCTCCATAGCGGCACCCTCCACTTCCAATGCGGCATCAGACAGGCGGGCTACAAACAGCAGAAAATAAAACTGGTGAGAAGCAAACTCTTCTGACCTGGAACAGGGTGGCCACGGCCTCCCCTGGAGGTCCCACGGAGCCCTACGGCTCCTGGCAGGCAATGCCGGCACACCTGGGCTTGCTACCACCCCCCGGGCACAGCAGAAATCGACTTCCAGGGAAACCCCAGCCAAGGCGGCTCCTTCCCAGCAGTGCAGCACTGGGCAGGGAGTGGGCAGAGATCAACCCTCTCTGCCCGCCCTGCCTGCCAGAGCACACCACGCTGCTGACTGGCGGAAGAGGGGCCACTTCCTTCTCTTATCGTGGCCTGGCACAGAAGCAAACGTCACGAGAAAAGCCACGCTCTGCGAGGCGCCCACAGCCAAGAGGCAGTTCCTCTTTGGAGGAAGCTCCACCGAACGTGTTTCTCAGCTGCTCCACAGCCGGAGGAACCTGCTCTCCACCCAGCATGGGTGGAAATCATCTCCGAGCCCTGGTTCAACCCCCATTCTGCGAGCCAGGGCACTGCACAGCGGGGAAGCACCTCCCAAGATCCCGCTCAGTTTCCCACACCCCAGCACTGCCCGGAGCTCGACAGCGCCAGCAGTTTGCCGTTAGTGACTAGCCCAGCCGTCCTCCTCTCTCCATGGGCTTCTAAGCCTCTGATACAACTCACCAGCTGCGGTTCACATTGGACATCGAGGTCTAGATTTCTCTCCCTAATAGAAGGGCTTGACCTGCCCACCGCTGCCTTTACGCTCGAGAGTGGCACCTTCAGGGAGTGCCTACAGCAGCCCTACAGCGACCTGGGGCAGACCCAGCGCCCGCCGCTCCACCGGGCAGCCGGTGCCAGGGAGGCTGGGGGACACCGGGCC